GGCGTGGCCACCGGAAGCAGAGCTGGTGGGGGTGCAGCGGGGCTGGCTGGGGAAGATCCGGAGCAGGCACCGGCTAGCAGGACCTGGCGGCAGCGGGGAGGGCAGAGGGACTGGCAGGGGAAGACCGGGAGAACTCGGGGAGAATCAACCAACCGGCCGGCTAGGAGGGGGTGGGGGAGTGAATCAGCCGGCGGGGAGCAGGACTGACCTGGGCCGTGCAGATCGCAGGGCGGTCCTGTCCCGCACGAGTCATTCAGGCTGCGGCTCCACCACGCGCTTGACCAGCGTGCAGGAGCATGGACCGGGATGCCCCTCCTCCTCCTCACACGCAACCAGGGCTCCCAGTACCGATCGCGTCCCGCCTTCCAGTCACTCCCCCCCGTCCCCGGCAGGCTTCCATCCAGCGCCCAGCCAGACAACTAGAAAATACCAGACATTTCACATGTTCGTTATTTTCTGGATTTTTGTACTGGACAAGGGCCCAAAAATCAGACTGTCCGGTAGAATACCAGACACCTGGAAACCTATTTGTTATGATATTTTCTTTTAAAAAAACTAACAGTTCCTTTCTTGTTTTTTTTTTTTTTTTTTTTTTTTTTTTTTTTTCAGACACAGATGGAAGAGCCCTATTGTTCTAGTGAGACAGCATATATGCACTGCTTATAGTATATAGAGAGCGTCAACATTCAAGGCTAGATAGTGTCTCCTTATTCCGTAGAATGGAATAGGTTGCTCCCTCCTCCCCATATACAGATCTGCTTTTGTAGGCCAGTGAAAAAGAGGATGTGTGGATGCTGAACTGTTACTTAAATTACTTTGTGAATCTCAATCTATACATTTCTCTTATCCCCCTGACTCCCATGTGAGATGCAATTAGTCCAGTTAGCAGGGCCTTGCCTAGCAGTCACAACTTCAATTCTAGTCTTAGCTCTGCCACTAGTTTACTGTAAGAGCTTGGCAAAGTCATTTTGTCTCCTCCATCCCTTTGTCTTTATTATTTGATTGCAAGATTTGACTCTCTCCCTGTGTCTCTGAGCAGTGTATAACACAATCGGGCCTCTCATCATAGGCAGGGACTCTACAGTAATAAATAACAGTCTGACAATCTGGCATTTGTTGTTCTTATTGCCTCACAGAAAATATTTTTATTCTTTC